CTGAGAGAGAGGGGTTCATACAGACACACTGACTGGACACTCCAGTACATTAACACTGCACTGAGAAAGGATTTCTATCGTATTGTGCCGATGTCACGATGGCATTGCGGGAGTATTCACTTGTAGCTATGCTGAGTTTTCCCTCCTTTTCAGCGATTCACAAACAGGCAGATGTTTCCCGCGGCGCTCGAGATTTGGCAGCACATGTAGCCTTACCTGACGGCGCTCGAGATTAACAAATGAAATTTCCAAACCGCGCCCCTTTGCAATGCGCTAGCCAATCGGGGACGGTTGGTCCCTCCCCCATCCACAGCCCTGCCAATCAGCGTCAGACAGGCAGTACACGTGACGTGATCTGAGCGGGGTTACGTAATATGCTCTTCCCCACCTCTCACGGGTCCAGAGCAGAACAACACAGCGACGATGCAGCACATAGCAGTACTGCAGGAGATGAGGCTACTGACAGCTGAAAACTTTAACGACTGCTGTCGTGTTTTATGACCAATAGCCGACCCGACATCGTTGCATGTGTAATCTCTGGTAATTTTCAACGAGGAATCTTGGTACAAATCACTAAAAGTGACAGACCTGTTCAACAGGGAATAAGGCAAGAACAAGCGACCCTGTTCTGCTTGTGTTAACAGTAACGCGACAGGCGGTCCAACTATAGGAGAAACATCTACTGAAACTGCACTTCTGAGCTCCACCGTGCAGCACCAAGCACAAACCTAAGGCATGCCCAAGAAGGCTCAGATCTTTTACTGCGTAACACAACAACGCCTTTATTCTATAGAGCTTTCACTGAATCTGCCCTCACATTCACCGCGGTAGCCTGAACACACAATAAAAGCAGACTGAGCAGGATCCTGCAGTCACCCCATGACTATTACCCTGATTCATTGGGGCAATTGATTGTATATTTTACTTTATCATATATATGTATCTTCTTTCTCATCACACGTGTACGCCTCTTATTTGTTAACGGGGTTTCAGTCGTGTTAAATGTTCTGTAAGTTTTTATGCCCCTTACCTGCCCGCAAAGCAAACTCCCCATCTGGGACAAGAGAAGCGCCGCACCGCCAGAGCGATAACCGGGGGGATAGCGCCGCCTTGTGGACAGATGCCGTAACCAGCGAGCTGGAGTTGCCCTGATGTCGTTACGACGAAAGAACCCCTCTACTGGTTCAAGAGTCGGCTTAGCTGGGCGACTCGACGTCACCTCGGGACTGGGTGCCCCGGAGTCGTCAAGCTGACCGCTGCTGTCAACTCCGTCACTACAGCAGACAGCGAGTCACCTCCGGCGCACCCGCCATCGCACTGCGGACCCTTAAACAGCCATACCCCCCGGCGTTTAGGGCAAGACCCGAAGATGCACACTGCCAGGCTCCCAAACCGTGACAGACACACATAGGATTCATTTAGATGCACACAGGACACACACGTCTCCCGGCTCAAACAGTATAACAAGGCTGGACCTTCACCACCGGACGAGCTGTCCTTAACGATAAACGTCATTGCAAATACCGAAACGCACCATAGGAACAGATATCAGAATTAAAATTAATTTACACGAATAAAACGGTCAACGCATACCTGTTAAGAGTCCTATAGGCTGCATCAACGTTCCCGTTCTGAACCATGACCGTGCGGGCCACGAACTTCAGATGATTCGCCATGTTGGAACAACACGGTGTTCCCAGTTTTGACGCTCGGTCGGAAGCACAACCTAAACTAAGAAAGGTTCCGCGATGATCATGTGAACAAAATTAATAGTGCTGTTATTATTCGTTTTCCCACAAAATGGGGATATTTTCTTGCTTAGAATAGCGCGTTTGCTGGCAGTACAATATACCAGGTGGTACTGAACCGTACTGACCTCAGCTGCTCCTGACCCAGCTATCCTGAGCTGTACTGACCTCAACCAGCCTCAGGACAGTAATGTTAAAATGCCACAAATCAGAGCCTACCAAAACACAGGACAAGTTACCCACTGGGATACACACAAACATAATACATAGTGCATTGCTACTTGACTGTAAAAAGACAATACACTCTGACAGATGTTCTTACCAGGATAGAGGACAGCAAACAGAAACAGACCC